GGGGGAGGGGCAGGCATTCACTTAGTATTTGGAACTGGGGCCAGCCCCCCAGATCTCTCCACTGGCTCCCTACTCTGGCTGGCATGTTGCATTCACACCTGGGAGCACTGGGGGGCCTACTTTATCCAGTATCCAGCTGTCACATGCATATGAGGCGGTTGAAACTGCTATGGCTTGGGTTAGGCTCACCCTAGTCCTCACAGTGACATCCTAGCCTTTCAACAGGGGTGTTGTACAAGAGATTCACCCACTGCAGTGGGTCTTTTAATACCGCAACTGCTGCTCCCGTGATCATTGATTGTGGATTCAAGCAAAACAAAAGTCCTTGACAAGTTCAGTCTTTTTTCTGTTTCTCATGATGCTGCCTATGGGTCCAGTTATGAGAATTTTGCTCTTAATGTTGAATTGTAATCCCTACTGAAGGTTGCAATCCTTGACCTTCGTCAGCAAGTGTGTCAAGCCCTCCTCATTTTCAGCAAGTAAGGCGGTGTCATCTGCATATCGCCTTCCTCCACTCTTGATGCTACCTACATTCTTCTTCATATAGTCCAGCTCCTTGGATTATTTGCTCAGCATAGAGATTGAACAACGCACATTTTCCTGATTGTCAACCATGCAGTATGCCCTGTTCTGTTCAAACAACTGCCTTTTAGTCCATGTACAAGTCCTTCACGAGCACAATGAGGTGTTGAGGAATGCTTGTTCTTCTCAAGGCTATCCACAGTTTATCATGGTCCATGTAGTTGAATGCCTTTGTATAGTCAACAAAACACAAGCAGACATCTCTCTGGTTTTCTGTGCTTTCAGCCAAGATCCATCTGACTTCAGGAATGATATCTTTTGTTTCATCTCCTTTTCTTTATCTGGCTTGAAGTTCTGGCAGCTCCCTGTCAATGAACTGCTGCAACCGTCGATGGGTGATCTTCAGCAAAATTTTACTTACATGTGCTATCAGTAATATTGTTCTGTCATTTGTGCATTCTATGAGGTCACCTTTCTTTGGCGTGGGTTCATACGCACATCTTTTCCATAGCTTTCCCTAGGTGACACAAATGGTTTGTGTTCAGCTGCTGCCTTAAAGGTTGGCGGTTTGAATCCACACAATGGTATGTGGAGTTAAGGCCTGGTGATCCTCTTCTACAAAAGTTATAGCCAAGGCAGCCCATGGAGCAGTTCTGCTGTGCCCCATGGGGTCCCCAGGGGTCAGAATCTACTGGGTAGCAACTCTCAGCCACCACACAGTAGGAAAGAAGGAGAACATAGAAGTAATTGACCAGTAGCTGGAGTCTGCCATGGGCCCTCCACCTCGCCATCAGCCTTCTCTCCCCATTCCATGGTCCCTTTTATCCAGCACAGGACCTTAACCTGTGATGGAGCTATAGTGAGTCTACTAGTTCTTCACCTTGTCAGGTCTGTTCATCTCTCTGGACCATGGCACACATGGTGACCTGGAATGTCCTTTGAGATCCACATCCTCTTAGCTCCAAGGACCCTCCTTAAGCATGGTTTCTTCCTTAATCCCTGACAGCACCTAGCCCCCGACTCTGCCCATCATGTGTGGGACAGTGAGAGAGCATCTCGGACTGGACGGTGTCAGTGTGGAAGTCTTAAAGCCGCAGTCAGATCTCTTTTGAGCTGCAGACCTTCCTTCGTGTTGAACTGCTTGGTCAACCTCGTCACTTGAGGGTGTCCCATGGCCTCTCAGGTAGCACCGAATCTGACACACACTCTTGATTCCCCTGTTTCGCTATTCTTTCCAGTGCCTGGTTGTCCATGTCAGAAAGCTGGAAGTAAAATCCTTGACTTCTCCTACCTACTGAGTCCTTGGCTCCCATCTTTACTTCCCACCAGGCCTGTTAGTTCAACTCCCAAACGAGCCCTCAGTCGATGCTGGGAGGTCCACCCCCAGTGCCTGCATCACAGAGCACCTCCATAACTCCTCCCTGCTCTCTCTGCCCTCAGCCAGCGGAAGTCAGCGTGTGCGGCACGCCCTGCCTGGCCTCACCTGCCTTGACCCCGGCTTCCCGAGGGGCTCCTGCTCTCTCACTATAGTCCGTCCTCAGAGTCTTCTCTCTGGTTCCGATCTTGCCAAGCCTGTCGCACCTGCGGTTCCCTCCCTGGTGTCTTGTGTCCCCTTTGTCACTCCTACACATGCCATAGTCTGAAATGGCGCTTAGTCACAGGCCTCCCCCTAAGCCACAGAGCTGTAATCCAGATCAGATGTGCCCTTGCCCCTGCCTCCTCCCCATGTCCAGGGCACAGTTTGTAATCTCAGCCTCACGTTGTGGTGGTGGTGAGCTACCAACAAGGCGCTTCAGACGAAAGCGACCCTACTGACCATAGAAGGAAGGCCTCCCTGGGCTAGCCCGTCCCCACACTCGCTGCTGTGCTGGGCTCACTGTTGCAGTCTCTGAGGTAGGCTCATCCTTGATGAGTGCCATCGGGCGCTTCAGCATGAGACTGCATGTGGCATGAGGCCAGGGACTGGAGGTTTTGTCACCCCCACGGAATCTGCAAGGCCCCAACCCCAAACCAAACTCACTGTTGATCCTGACTCATAGCGACCCTCCTGCCCCTGTGTGTTTCTGAGACGATAACTTTATAGGAGTAGAAAGCCCCGTCTTCCCAGAGAGCAGCTGACCTGACAGCTAGTAGCCTGGGACATAAGCACTCTGCCCGCAGGGCCCCTTCCTCAAGGCCCAGGGCTCCCTGAGTAGTACACGTGGAAAGAAGCAAGAGGTGCTCTTTGACGAGACAATCAGGGTGAAGTAATGTGCTAGCTCCCCTTCTGCCGTGGAGGGCTTCGTTGTCCAGGGTGGTGCCCTGTCGCTGGGGGAAGTCCATTGAAGGCGCTCCGCTCTCCTTTCAACCTCAGCACGAGGCTTCTCATTCATGTGCACCACCATGGCGGGGCTGTCAGCGTCAGTGTAATGTACTGGGCTGCTTCTGTGTCCCAACAAGCCTGGCTTCTACCAGGACTGCCTCATGAGCCCTACCATGAGAAGCTCATGGTCAGGTGCGAGAGCGGAGCAAGCTGACTGGGCTTGCCAGCTTGCACGCCCTTCGTTGTTGACCGTGGCCTAGCAGAACACGTGGAACAGAAGGGATGGGGCCTGAAGCCACAGCCCTCTAAGATCAGGTGACCTGATCGTAACATGGGTAAAGCGGGACACCACTGATCAAACTCATATCCTGGCGAAATAGCCACATGGCAGCCGAAAACCGTATACCCTAGCTTGTCGTGCATTCTTTCCAAAAATCGGGACTTTTTAAAAACGCCGCGGGACGCGGGACAAACTGTTAAAAATCGGGACTGTCCCGACAAAAGCGGGACGTCAGGTCACCTTACTCTACGATGGAGTCTTCAGTCACCATTCCAGAGGGGAACCGGCCGGGGTTGGGGCTGCCCCGGACACCTGGTCCTCACTACCCTGTCATCTTTAGGCGGACCCCAAACCCCAGATATCTAGGGGAGGGTGTACTTGCTCATGATCGCTCCAGCCTCTGAGTTTTCCTGTGATGACCTTGCTCTGGGGCGAGAACACTGGGCGTGCTGTGTTAAGGAACATGGACAACATGTGTGTGCGTTGTGCCTTCTGGTTGGTTGGTGGTGTCTCCCTTCCCTCCCTGTGGTCATAAAAGATATTGTTCTGGGCGTGGCTGGTGATGACTTGGGAATCCTGCACCTTGGCTGCCCTTAAAAAGGCTTTACTTTTTCTCTGAGAGGCAAGGTGATAGGGAATGGGACCGTTTGTGTTTGCTTCTTTGGGAAAGCACATGGCCTCTGCTTTGGGTGGGCACTGGGTGGGTAAAGTGTTTCCGCTGAGATGGAAAAGCAAGCAGTTGATGGTTGTGAGGCCCCAGTAAGTCAGCTCCTGTCACTGTTTCCAGAGCACGCCCAGAATGGTGAAAGCTGGCCTGCAGCAGAGCCTTTGCTACGAGGCAGCCAGTCCTGAAAGGATTTATTTATTTATTTTGGCCGTTGATCATGTCTAAAGGATGATAAGTTTAAGTCTCCCTTGGCTAGCTGGAGTGTGTCCCACTTGAATTGGTTGTGACCCTTAGACTCCTGAAACTCCGATGTGGTTGGAGAAGATTTTTTGGGGGGTGGAGGGAGAGTGGGAATCTAATGTAACAAAAGAAAATACCAAATATGAAATGTTCAGGATTGTGTCATTGGCTGCTTGCATTCCTGGGGGCTCAGCAGCCCTCTGGGACAGAGCCCAGTGGCCTCTTCACGGGGGAGATGCGGTTTCAATTTGTAGGTGAATGTGTTTGTTATAAGTTTTTTATTTTTTGTAGAAAAAGGGAAATTAAACATTAAAAGACGTTAAGTACTTTACTCTTTATATAATGCCACTACAAAAAGCCAGGAAAAATCAGGGTTGGGTTGCTTTCAAAAAATTTATTTCATAAATATAATCTATTTTCCACCATTTTGTTTGTAATGGCTGGTCCCAGAGTCCTCTAAAAGTTAAGTTGAAAAGTTTGTGTTCTTTCAGCAGCTGTGCACAATAAATGAACCCCTCACTGGTCTTCATTGTGGGCTGGGCCCTGCTGAATAACATGGAGGGATTTGGTTTCTGTGTGCGGTTTTGTTTTGGCATTTGAGCATATAGCTAATTTCATTTAATTCAACTGAACTCTATGAAGGGTCTTCTAAAGGGTCATGGAAAGATCCCATTGTCTTTTGATCCCACTGTTCCATGTTCTTTTTGAAGTGCTCCCACTTGTACAAAGCTGTTGAGCAGCTGCAGCCGTGCGCCACTCCACTTGGCTGTGTGGAGCTGGCTTCCTTCTCTGTCCAGGGAGTGGTGCAGGGTAAGCACAGCCAACGGACCCCGGCAGCTCCCTCTGCCCTATGGAGATGTATCTAATGGACTCCTCTCTCGTCTCTGTCTCTTCTCTCTGGAATTTAGGAAGAGTGAATGCTGGGACATCAGATACAACCGAGGAGAATGCCTTCACTCCCCAAGACCCAAGAGCTCTCCTGGAGAAGATGCTTCAAAAATCAGCAAAGGTCATGGCCCACCCACCCCTCCACCCCACCCCACTGTGTCCAAAATGACTGTCACTTGAAGTGCTTGTCCCCAGGCTGCTTGTGCCTTGCAATCAGGACTGCAGTTGGTTAGTTTAATATGCGGTGGAAGCAGGCACTCCTGCAATGAATATTTTTCTGATAACTTTAAACATATGCAAACTCATCTGCCTGCCTGTCTGGATAAAAGGCCAGGGCCTGCTGTGTTTGTGGGTGCCGTGATTGGAGTTATGCTTTCTTGTGGGGGGATGAAACCACATTGTATTTGGAGTGAATTCAGAGGGTGGAAGCAGGAGGAAGGAGGAGCCCTGGTGGTGCAAGCAAGAGAAACCGTGGACCTGTCAGCAAAGGTTAGGGGTTCAAATCCCCAAGGTGCTCCACAGGAGGAAGATAGTCAACTTCCGCAAAGACTTACGGAATGGTTCAAAATGCTCATAGAGCAAGCAGTTCTGCTCTGTCTGATAGGGTCACCTGAATCCAGAGCCACTCAACAGCAGTGGAAGAAGCAGTATGAAGGTAGACAATCCCCAGATTTTTACCTTGTGTGTTTTTTTTTTTAATTGTTGCTATGTCCATTTAGATTTCAGAAGTAAAATTTTAATACTCTAAATAAAAAAATACTTTTCAAACCCTACAATTTGGTCTTCATAGAAGCCACAATTTCTGACACACCTAGCTTATTATTTGCACACCCTAACTGTATTTCTTAATAATATATGCTGCTGGCAAAGTCAGCACACACACACACACACACACACACACACACACACACACACACGCGCGCACGTCGCTCCCATGAAAGCAGCCCTGTCAGTGGCCATGTTGTGGGTGCGCCGTCTGCCGGAGGATTGGCCAGCGTGTTGCACCTGCAAATGCAGTGTTGTCACGCAGCCCAACAGCTTCGGAGCCATCCTGACCAGAGGACCTTTTCAGTTAGTTCGCCCCAGTTGCGGGCCCAGTTTTCTAGAGCTAGCTGTTTCCCATGAGCATGTTCATGCTAACTTCACAGCAGGCAGCGTGCTCCCTGGCTCCCAGCCTTGCTTTGCTTCCCCAGTGCAGTAGGTTTATGGAGCCCCACAGCACTGTGGCTTCAGCTTTGGGCTGTGAACTACTAGGTTCGTGGTTTGAACCCACCAGCCCCTCACTCCATGGGATCTCTTTACAGATCAGTGCCCCAATAGGGGCATTTACTTGCTGTGGGCTTTGACGAAAGGAACAGGAAACCTCAAGTTAGCAAACCTTTATCCCACCCTCCCCCAAGGAATTTCACTCTTCTGACTACCACACTGTTGACCGAAAGTGTGTACTCAGTATTATCCTGCTTTGAGTTTCAGCCATAAAAATGTTGTGGAAATGCCCTTCTTCCCTGGTTTTGTATCTGCACCCTATCCTTCATTTTGGCTTACGGCCCATATAGCCTAAAAGACTGACTCACCACCTGTCTACAAAATGTTCAATCCCTGGTCTGGAAGAAGAGATGAAGGCATCCAGTTACAGTTAGAGCAGTCGGATTTTAGGTGTTCAGGAGGGCAGAGTTACAGGTCACCTGTGAAGGGAAGTAGGGGTTGAAGCCAGAGACACAGTGGGAGAAGGCACAGTCCAGGAAGGACTCCTCCCGGGTGGGCAAGGGAGAAGCTTTACCCCGCCTTCCAGGATGCTTTTCTCAGGGAGTGGGTGGTGGTGGTGGTGGTGGTGGTAATGGCATGAACCTGTAGCCGTGGGAGTCCTGAGCCTTCACCTGGTGGAGTGAGAGGATGAGTCTCATCTCAGAGAGAAGAAAGGTTAGCCAGTTGTCTTCTGAAGTCCCGTCTTTTGAGAAGCAACCCCGGTTTTGTTCATGTGAGATGCTCGGATGGGTCCCCGGCCCAAGGGAGTCTGGCCCACCACCTTAAACGTGGGCCTGATTGGACACGGCCTGCGCCTCTCCCACCTGGACGTGGCTGAGGGTTCTCCTGGATGCGTATGTTCACTGGACACTCCAGTTGTTCCACTCACAGATGGACCCGGCGCAGTGCATCCCAGGGAGCCACGACACTTTGACCTCGAGACACCCTGGACCATCATACCAGCCTGCTGGGTCGGTAAGCAATGTTGACCGTATGTTTGGTGTTCCCAGGTGGTTTACATCTTGGAGAGAAAGCATTCCCGGGCAGCCACAGGCCTCCTCAAACTCTTGGCTGACAAGAACAGCGAGCTGTTTAGGAAATACGCCCTATTTTCCCCTTCGGACCACCGAGTGCCTCGAATTTACGTGCCTCTGAAGGACTGTCCCCCCGACTTTGTGAGCCGACCTAAGGATTACGCCAACACTCTGTTCATCTGCCGCATCCTGGACTGGAAGGAAGACAGCAATTTCGCCCTGGGGTAGGTGGTCTCTGGCAAGAGAAGCCATGGCTCCCAGGTGGAAGGTAATTGAGGTGGCCTCTAGGCAACCCTCCTGTTCGCTAAAGCATAGGGCTGAGCCTGCTTTTGTCCTTTTGTTCTTCAGGAAGGGCCTTTAGCCGTCACCGCAAGTGGCCACTTAGAGATTCTTGAGTGGCCAGGCAGCTGCACTTGTTCTGTACTTTAGTCTGAGCACATTGTATGCCCCCACCTGTGTCCTGTCATGAATGCCTTCTGCATGTGTGTGCCACAGAGCATTCCCTGCTCCAGCCAATCAGAGCCCTCCAGTCAGACACCAGTGCGAAATACGCCAAACGCATCCAGGAGCCTTCACTCTGCTTTGGTTTAAAGTGTGAGGATGAAGGTCTTCCTGCTGTCAGTGCTCGAGGTTCCACTTAGGACAAGCTGCAGATGAGAGTCCCTGCTGTGAGCAGGAAAGGTGCCAGGCTTCTCTGGAAGCTGTAGAAACCACTGTAAGCCCAGTACAGACCCCAGAGCAGCATCACGGATGGCCACTTTATTTTGCGCTAAACTACTGGACCCAGTGTGTGATCAAATGCTCTCCCTGTTCTCCTCGCACCACTGGCGTTGATTTTCCGCGGAAGACAGTATTAAGCCTCAGCGGTCTCTCTAGGGCAGTGGTTCTCAACCTTCCTAAGACAGAGACCCTTTAATACAGTGCCTCATGTTGTGGGTGACGCCCCAATAATAAAATTATTTTAATTGCTACTTCATCACTATAATCTTGCTACTGTATTTTTAAAATCATTTTATTGGGGGCTCATACAACTCTTATCACAATCCATACATCCATCCATTGTGTAAAGCACATTTGTACATGTGTTACCCACATCATTCTCAAAACATTTGCTCTCCACTTAAGCCCCTGGCATCAGCTCCTCATTTTCCCCTTCCCTCCCCACTCCCGCCACCCTCATGAACCCTTGATAATTTATAAATTATTATTTTGTCATATCTTACACTATCTGACGTCTCCCTTCACCCACTTTTCTGTTGTCCATCCCCCAGGGAGGAGGTTATATGTAGATCTCTGTAATCGGTTCCCCCTTTCTCCCCTCCCCTCCCTCCGCCCTCCCCGATTCCCTGTGTTTCCAGTTCCTATACCAGTGTACATCCTCTGGTCTAGCCAGATTTGTAAGATAGAATTGGGATCATGATAGTGGGTGGGGAGGAAGCATTTAGGAACTAGAGGAAAGTTGTATATGTCATTGTTGCTACCCTGCACCCTGACTGGCTCGTCTTAATTTTGCTACTGTTATGAATTGGGCGATCCCTGTGAAAGGGTCATTCGACCCCCAAAGGGGTCTCGACCCACAGGTTGAGAACTGCTGCTCTAATAGATCTTTATGATTGATGGTGTCTGGTGTCTGCGTCACAAAAAGCAAACAAGAGGACACAGCCCTCTGGGATGGTGTGTGGTTCTCTGGTGTCGAACCTCAGCCTTCTGCTGTCCTTTCCCTCATGGGCCTGGGTCCCCGACAGTGACAGTGTCATGTCCCAGAACCCGCCCGTTGCCACTGGGCCAGCTGTGTGAGGAGCAGTGTCGTGTCGTCGAGGTGACTTCCGGCTGCTCCTTCTCTGCTCTCAAGGGGTGTAATGGCACCATTGCCATTTTTTGCACCAAAAGTGACATCAACCCCTTGAGCCTTAAATGGACCTTCCCAGGGCTGGCCAGTTTCTCACCATCAAGTCCAAAGGCCCCTGTTAATTGGGCTGGCCACACTCGGGCTGGTCGTGAACAGTGAAGACTTTCACATGGGACCCGGAAAGCCAGCCCGGCCTTTTATCTGCCTGGTTCCCAGACTCCATTGTGCACCCTTGATTGGAGTACTTCCTTAGTTTTCCAGGGGCGAGGGTGGAGCCAGGAAATGAACCTGGTGTGAGCTTCTCCTCTTTCTTGAATGGCCTTCCTGGCTGCTTTTACAGCTGAGCTATCACTTCATCAAGAACTCTCCTCCCCCCCACACAGTGCCCAGGTCTGTAAGGGGAACAGTCAGACCAGGGAGGGGCGCCCTTGAGAACATTCTGTTCGCCAGAAGAGATCAAAAGGGCAGCCTTTGCCCAGGGACGTGCTCAGGGTGGGAAGGGGTGGGAAAGAAGGAAGAGTGGAAACAGGAAATGCGGGGTGGACGTGGGAAGAGGGCTATGATGTCAGCGGTTGGGATCTAGGGGTGGGGTGTAGCGTGGGGGGACGGACTGCAAACAATGTCATGAACCAAAATATGTGTGAATCGTTGAATGGAAAACTAATTGGCTCTCTCAACTTTTACCCCAATCAAAATAAAAAGTAAAAAAACCCCACAAAACCCCAAATTAAGAACCCTTCCTCATGGGTTAAATAAAGTACAATAGCTAAGCTGTGAGTGCAACTTCTCTATGCAAAGACTATTGAACAGTAATAGATGTTAGTCTTGAAATTATTTCAAAATGAACGTTGAAAGCTCTCTTATCTCGACTAAAAAATGAATGAACTTTCTCACAGCCTTCTTAATACAAAGACCTTATAAACGGCCTTTTGTGGAAATCCGCCTTGTAAAGTCCCTGCGAGAGAGGGGCCTTTCCTGACGCAGTTCTCAGCTGACTTCTGTCTCCCCGGGGCGAGGCTGCAGCTGTCCAGTGTGTTGGTGGTCGCCTTGCCGTTTTGTTCTGCCTATCAGTCACCGATCTGTAGGAAGTGAGGTCACCGTCCCCAGTCGGAACACGCCGTGCTGGGACTGCCTGCCCGGGTTCCCTCGCTCCTCCATGCCAGGTTTTGACCAGAAACACGAAGGTCGTACTTGCTCGAGGGGTGAGTCTGTGCAGCAAGAGCTGTGTCTAAAACACAGAGGTAGCCCTAGTGGCTTCCTTTGGAATTTCTTGCTGCCCCCCCACCCCCCGCCCCCGCCCCCTGCCCCCCTGCTTCCATGCACTGAACGCCCTCTGCCATCTCTACCAGAGGAGAGGCCGCCCCTGGAGGAGGACGGTGTGCTGGGCCACGGGGCGATGGACTGGCACGGCACGGTGGGCTCTGGCACGGCAGCAGCTATGAGGGTGGCAGGACCAGGCAGCGACTCGCTCTGTGGGGCACAGGGGCACTGCGAGGCCCAACTGACCTGACGGCGTCTGCTAACAGCAGCAGCCCAAGTCCAAAAGCCACTGCCAGCCTTCTGTAGCGAAATCCAGTTACCAGTCATACACAAGGCAAACTCACCGCCCTCGGGGCAATTCCAACTCACAGTGACCCTTTAGGATAGGGCAGCACTGCCCCTGTGGGTTTCCCACCCTGCCTCTCTGTGTGGGAGGAGGAAGTGCCCCATCTTCCTCCCCCAGAGCAGCTCGCTGGTGGTTTCAAGCTGCTGGCCTTGCAGTTAGCAGCCCAACAAGTACCCGCTACCCTCCCGAGGCTCATTGCCGGAAACGTGCTGCATTATGTGTGAGGCACCGTGCTGCATGGCATGTGAGACACATCGGTAAACAAGCTCTAGAAACAAACTCACTGCCAGAGACCCCAGTCCAACTCACAGGGACCCTCTAAGACAGGGCAGAACTGCCCTGTGGGATTCTGAGATGCCCTCTTCTGGTACCCCAGGGCTCCACGCACACAAGCGATGGTTTCCTTCTGATCGAATCAGTCACTCCCTCTCTCTTCCCTCCCTCCCTCCCTGTTTACATACAGCTTTCTGGGCATCCGTTTCAAGGACCATACAATCAAGTGTTAGAATCTATTTAAAAGAGTTGTTCAGGCATCACCACAATCAATTTGAGAACATTTTATTCATTCCTCTAACCATTATTATCAGTTCCCTATTACTCCCCAACCTGCCCTGCCACAACCCCAAGGAACTATTAGTCTAGTTACTGTCTCTGTGGACTTACCTCTCGTGGATTGCATATAAAGAAAATCATACCAAAATTCCCACCGATAACAACAAAATAAGACACAGAAAAATCTCAATCCAAGAGAAAGCAGAAGAGAATATAACCTAGAACCAATTAAAAATGGGTTGGAAGGGAAAACAGATGATAATATGTTAAACTTTAACCTAATCGACGGTATCTTCAGTAATCCACTTTCCAGTACACTCTGGCTGAGGGCAAGACTGTTCGCATCCCTGCTCTAGGGCCCAGGCTGTTTACGGGCAGCTCAGCCCTACACAGGACTCTGCCAGTGGACTTGGGCTTTCACGGTCACCCAGGGGATGGCCTCTTTCCTCACGACTGAGAGCCCGAAGCAGAAGGACTGTAAGTGAATGTTCCAAGAATAGCTTGACATTGCAGGCCACGGAGACCACTTGGTCTCATTTACGGCAAAGTGGGGGTTAATATAAGAAACTAACGGCTCTCTCAAAAACCCCAGGCAGCAAGTGGAGGCAGGCCTCAGGAAACATTCAGAACGACTGTACTTTGACAAAGATTAATAAAATGCAGCGTTCATAACATACATGGCCTAAGTCATGTTAGAGGTGCCCTCAATCTTTGCTCTTGGTTGACCGGCCCCCCTCCTTTAGTGTCAGTGTTGCCTCTCTGCACCCCAAGTGGTGTCTACAGTGAAGGGAGTTCAGAGAGACGTGTGGTATTTGAGACCTCCAGTTGTTAGAAAGTTGTTGTCCATCTTGTTCTTAAAAGTATCATGAGATATCTCAGAGGAGCTATTTCAACTTTCTCTGCATCATATGTACCACATTTTAAAGAATCTTATTCCTGTGATACTCTTTTTTAAAATATTGTTTCTCAAGTGTGCCTTGGAAGTCTCTGAAAAAGTCCTGCTTTTGTTAATGTCTCACAGTGTATCTAGTACGTTTGTCCTGGGTAGTTAAAAAGCCATATTGGTTTTCTCACTGGAAGGACTCACATTTCTGTCATCAGATTTATAGTCCAACGCATTTCCCAAGCCTGGTCTTTTCCTTTAGAAACACTTTCTTCTGTGGAAAGCGTTTCTCTCAGTCCCTCTCTTTCTCAGAACACTGTGAAATTCCCTGTCG